TTATTTCTTATCTAATTTACTCTTCATTGGTTTACTTGTATTCAGTGGATGACCAATTGTGTTCATTTGTGTTTTGTGCTTCAACGGATTTTAAAATAGACACCCTTTAATTAAAAAGTCACAATTTAAAGATATTCAATGTCAACATCTAAAATAATGGTGTCAATATAATCAGCTCTAGGAGCAGAAATAACTGTATTAATCAGTCATTTCAACAATCTGTGGCAACTTAAAAAACGATTTGAACAATTTGAACGAGTGTCAAAAACATGAAAAGAGCGATATTTCATCGTAACAGAAATTATCTGAAAAGATTCAAATTTGAACTAAACCAGATTGGATTCACATTACCTTTGATTGTATGGATAAAGATTGTATCTTTTGCACGAGTTCATCTTAGGATGACAGTTTTCACTTCACAATCCTGACATCATGTTTCAATATGAATTCATCTTATACCATAAAATAAATGATAAATTAAGAAGTAAAAACTCAGTTGAAATTGGTGTAAACTAAATTTTTGAACAAATTAAAATTAAACATGACCCAAAATAAGACAAAAAATATCCTTTCCAATGAAAAACAATAGAAACAATTAGTTGGAAATTAAGCAAGATGGAGCCACAAAAAATATTGACCGCAATTTTTAAATTAAATTAAATTAATCTAACCTTCCTTTTGTGATTAATTAACACTAATAAAAGGTTAGCCTTTTGTTTTAGCAGTTGATTGTTTCCTTCAAATTTAAAAAGTAAAAGGCTGAAACTTCGTGTTGAATCAAATTGATCACAACAGTAAAAAATAGGCAACAATTAAAATTGATCATCAATAACATTGTATACAAAACAATTATTTTTCTGGTATCGATAAAGATGTTACTGTATTTGAATGAATTGTAAACGGTAAAACACTGTTGACCTGATTAAAAGTTACTCGTGATTAAACAGTTAAATATGTAAAATTTAATCAACTTTGTTGTATTAATAGTACGTAATAATGATTATTAATAAATTAAACATTCGGTTAACTGTTTAAAAAGTAAATGTAAGGAAGAAGAAGTAATGAGTGATTTGTAAAAAATCAACTCTTTTCCAATGTTATATTTATCACGACCAACCAATTTGGTAGCCTCACGTTCATCAAACAATCAACAATTGGACAACATACAGGGTAAATGATTTACCATAATTTAGATTAATTCAGTGACCATCACAATCAATCAGATATGTAATTATGGCCGTCATGAAAATCAAGGTAAAAACAAAACCAGAGCTTTACAAATGCAAGTCAAACATAACCTCTGAAGTCAAACAGATTGGAACCAGAAAAAAATGATTTACTTTGTTTTCAACCCAATCAAAGCATTTCCTATTCATCCTTTGATCATCTATTTCAGCATCCACCTCCACCCTGAATCAGGCAGAATCCTTTTCCTGAATTCAATATTGATACTGATAACTCGTGATACATAAATCAAACTGCGGTTTTGTGTTGAACGTTTCTTGTGTCTTACATTTGTTGAAACAATTTAACTATTATTTAACAATCTCAGCAGGGTTGTTTCAATATTTAAGGCGGAATCGGAAGTGAACCAGGATTCGATGAATCTTCATTTCCAATCTTCTTCATCCTTTTCCCTTGACTTTACACCTTAAAGCTTTATTTGTCAAGCTTTTTTTGTGTGGACAAAAAAAATATATTCAATGTTTGTCTTCTGGGAACTTAATCATGTTGATATACATTTAATGAAGCTGATCATTCACCATTCAAGGAATCAAATGGATGATTGTTGAAGCTATTGTCTTGTCTTCCTTTTTTTGTTCATCTTCATCTACTTTAGGTAAACCTCTTGACCATTTTATGGTTTGTTTGTCTGTTTGTTTGTTTATTTGTTTGAAATTCAAGCTAAAGTCAATTGTCTTCCCGATGAGTATCATCATCAACATGATGAGAGTTACTCAGTGTCCTGATATGGATTTACAAATGAAATTCAATTGATTACAAAAGGCTTACATTTCAAGTTTCTTTTGTCAGCAAACTCACCATTCAACTGATAATCTTGTGGGTGTGAGGTTTTATATTACATCATTATCTACTCATCTTCATCAGGTTCAATATTCAGATGAGTTCAGATCAAAACTGGTTTCTTCTTCTTTTGGGTAAAATGAATACATTTTTGGGAATCGATTTGATAATTTCCAACATTCTGTTTACACAGATTCAACAACAATTGACTCCAATTTAGGTTGTGATTCAAGCATTTTGTTGGACAATTAAAGGCCTAAACTGGTAAAGCAAATTGAAATGAAAATTTCCTTACCAAAGGTTTGCTGAAATATTGATCTAAGCTAGCAAGACTCTTTGACTACCAACAGTTAATTGTTTGATTGATAAGGTTAGAAATAAACTGTTTAACAAACTGTTTTAACCTTTTATTAAACAATATTAATCAGATTAAATGAGATTTTCAAGACACTAAATTGTTCACTCAATGAACGGAACAAGATTCTTTTAACCTCTTCTGACGGATTAATCAGATAAAGTTGATTTTCCTTCAAGATGACCTGAAATTTTTTGCCTCATTTATATATCGTATTTTTTTTGCAACAAAATAATTTTTTTCTGATTGATTCACTTGATTGTTAAACTGCAATAATAATGAAATGAATTATAATAAATTAAGAGTGAGAAACAACGTGAGATTAAATTATCAATTATGAGACTCGATTTGTTCATGGGCTGAGCTATGATAACAATAACAAATGAAAGTTATTCAGAAAGAAACCAACAAACCCAAGAAAATAGGTTTGATTAGTCAGTTTTGGTGAACTTGATTAACTTTCAATTTTATCCATCAACACCATTAGTTTAATCATTTTTAATCTCCTGGTTTTTTGGGTTTACACTTTTTTGCATTCAAAAATAATCAGGTTAACATAAATCATGATTAAAAGGTATAACCAAATAACAGTAACTAATCAATCGAGATTCCGGTTGATCTTCAATTGGGTTTGGTGCTGAGCAACTGGTTGCTATTGATTAACCCAAAGTGAGACAATAATTGTGAAAAGTCCAACCAGTTATTATATTTTGGTTGTTATTGAATGAACCAGGATTTGATATTATTTCAAGTTGCAACAATATTTGGTTCAAGCTGACAATAATTATCCAATTTGTTTTAATGTAATCATATTGTCAGGTTAATGTGAATAATTTGAATCATTATCAGATGATTAGTTTTGATTACAATTAAATAAGAAACATCAACAATAGCCTGAAGAAACTCCTCAATGGAAGATGATTTTTTAGTTAAGTTTTCATTTCTCCAACGCTATTATACATTATTAAGTCTTACAATTGCTCGTTGTCACAATTGACTTTTGTGACACTTTTAGCTGACTTGAGACGATTGTAAGTGTGCTCATCTTGTGTCACCCAACAATCAATAAATGAAAATAGAAAATGAAATTTCTAAAATCACTTTCCATTCCAAGTCTTGAATCAAAGTGCAAATCAAAAGGTGAACATCAACATGTAGAAATGTCTTATTTGATTAATTGTCAATTGATTGTTCCTCTAAAATTAACACCAGCTTTGATTAAAGCAAAAAAGCATCGAAAACCAGATTTTTTTGAGGAAAAAAAATCCTGACAATATTGAAGTCGAAAAGGTTGGAGTGACATGTTTCTTGTGATTAGCTCAATGATTAATTACCTTTGTAAACCGAACCAGAAGTGTTTAGATATTGATCTGGAAGCATCTTAACATATCGAGTGCCCAAAATGAAGGCCAATATCGAGAGGACAGCGCAATCAACGACACCAATCATGGCCAGAATATAAGCCCAGCGAATGCCGCACTGACCAGCGACATAATTATCAGCAGCTCGACCACAAACCTCTTTAATTATCGGAGCATCCCAACCAGCTGGGAATATCAAGACTCCAGCAAGCATACACATCGCTATAAATGACAACAATTTAGAGAAATTAGAATAATCGAAAATCTGTTTTAGGATAAAAAATGATTAAACACAAACTCTGATCACCATTAATTGAACACTTTACATAATCTCTCCATAAAAACAAAATTGATCAATTTTCAATTCCTTTTACTTGATAATTGAGATGAAATTGACAAAAAAATCCCGTTTTTTGCACCAAAAATCAGTCAACAATGGAAAGGGCTAAAGGATTGAATGGCTGATTGAAATCACCTGCAATTTCATTCCAATCATATTTATATTTAAACATGAAATCTGTTCATCAATGCAAAACGTGGTTAACTGAGATTATCAGTTATTTTGATTCATTCAATTTTACTTTTCCTTGCCTCTTTAATTGTCGGAAAAACGATCAATTGAAATGATATAATTAAATGTAAAAAGGATGAAAAAAGCATCTTAAACATTTCAATGATTACAGTTGATTCTGATTGTTTGCTCAAATATATCATTATTGCTATAAAAGCTTGTCAAAAGTGTGTTTTTTTCAATGTCAATTGCTGAGATTAATTAAGAAACTAAATTAGTTAAAGTTGTTTCATGATAATCACGATTCGATTGTTATTTGAGCGTAAAAACAACTGTAAGTTGAAACGTATTAATTTTCAATGAAAATTGTATCGTAATTCAAAGTGAAGGTGAACAATTGACCTGAACAATTGATCTCATCTTAAATATGATCAAATTATCTGGTAATAATATTCAATTGGTAATGATGAAAACCCACATTTATCCTTTAATAACAAAACACTTAATTTGGTATCAAAAGCAGCTCAACATTATTAAATTTGAAGGAAAAATATGTTTCATTTTTTTGATGAGATTCACCTTTAAATTGTCAAGTGTAGGCTTAATTGAACAACTTGAACAGTAATTAACCTTTAAACGTATTTAGATTTAATATTTAATATAATTTCTGATGATAATTGAACTAAAGGGAAATATCAGCTTCTGTTGGCAACAAGTTGAAAATGATTGAGACTCATTGAGAATCTTCAATTTACAATTTAAATTCGCACAATTTAACCTAATTGAAGTCTTGTTCATGAACTTGAATTGAGCCAAAATGATTGATCAAAACGACAATGAACACAAATCGTATTGAATTAGCGTCTAATCATTCATAATCCCAAGTCTTTGATCAATCTTTTGATCGAAACGTTTTAAACCTTTTAACATTACGAGTTGATTAAGTGTTTAATTAAAATGATTAATTTGTATTAAAAACAATTAAAAGGTTCATTTTAAATGACGAGATATCGTGTTGAAAGTTTATTAAATTGTGACCTTTTTTATTGTATTGTTGACCAGAAAATTCATAAATAACTTGACTTTTTTGTCGTTTTTTTGTCAAACAATTGAAGCTACTGTGTTGGTCGATAACAATGAATCTACGTTAATTTTCATGTTACAATTTGGTTTTAATTAAAATTTTGTTATCTGATTATGACTAGATTATGATAATTACTGTTGGCTTTTAATTAAACGCAAAATTGGACAAATCAAGTTGAGGAAAGGCAACATTGTGACAATAACAATACAATGTTGCTGTCACGTTCAGATGAATTTGCTTGACAAAATGAAAAAAAGGTTTAATTCTTGGAGTCAACCTTGAATTGTTTGATGGTTGTTGTATAATCATGATAATGAAAAAGATGATGTTTAATGGTCACCCACGAAATGTTGTTAAATCAAATTAACTTACATTCCTTGTTAAGTCCAAATGATGATCAACATCATAATCACATTTTTCAATTCATTTCTTTTTTCAACCTTTTTTTCTCTATTCCATTATAAACAATAGTAAAGAGTCGCTTTCCCACTCGCACTTTCACTGTTGGTTTCCTTTACCTTGTTCAATTGTGTGAGACTGACCATTAGCCATCGTTAGCATTGTTGAGTTAACAAGGAAAAGTGTATCAACATTGAAGGAACAAATGAGCAACAATTTACTCTGTTTAATGAAACATTAAGTCTTATGACCTGACGATGTAAGGTTTAGGCTCAAAGAATGGACTAAACATTTCAATAAATCAGTAAAATAATGCAAAAATGGAGAAAATATCAGCCGAAATGGACTTTTCCTTCTTCACGATCTCAACACTTCAAAGAAGGAATACTTTACTACTTGAATCGAAGGAAAAACGCGTTTTGGGAAACCTTTTCAAGACAAATCCAAGTTCAATTCACAGGTTTACGAGCATTTAAAATGCAAAGTCAAGTCAAGTAAATGCTAAATGTAAAGGGATTGATTTTAATATTGAAAAGCTTGAGCTTGGCACAACAACTGTCTTCGTAAACGAAATATTCATCGACATTGATCATTAAAATGAATAAAAGTATAACTTGAAACATTTCGAGTGATTCGAGACTTTCCTTGACGAGTTTGTCTGAAAAGTTCAGCAACTACTGATAGTTTGAGACTCGAATGAATTCAAATGCTAGACTAAGTTGATTTGATCTTAATAGCATCCAATGTTGAGAATGATTCTGTTAATCTCAATGATTAATGTTAATTTCTTTTGCTATTCATGCAAAGTAAGGTTTAAATAGCAATTGATTACTTGATTGATCAATAGAATTGAATAGCAATTGAATTACAAGAATTACACTTCTGTTTGAATCGATTTGCAAAATGTTTGTTAAATTAAGAATAAAAAATCAATTTTGGCTGTAAAGTACAATAATGATATTATAATTAGAGGTAAATATTAATGAGCAATAATGAATAATGATGAGTTTTGTGCTTGAAATGCGAAATGAGAAGAAACGAACGAAAGCGATTGAGCTTAATTGATTATTAAGCTTTTATTGATTATTGAGTGAATTTAATGATACGTTAAAAGTGTTAAATCATGTTTTTCCAGGTGAACAATTGATTAGTTTGATTATAATTTTCCCTCTTCACTCCACAACTGAATCAATCTGTAAACTGGCAAATTACAAGATCAATCAATGAATACTAAACGGGAAGAAGTCAATTAAAAGCAATTAACCTGGTAAAATCAATTGTAAGGATCAATAAAATGTTAATTCAAAGTGAATATGATGTTTAACAAACGTTTATTGTTCGATACTAATTGTAAACAGAAAACAAAGAAATACAAATTGCAATCAAATTCAATTGGAAAGCAATAAACAATTGACAGTTTACGATGGAAAATAAATATTGATGGTAAAAATAGCCTTTAATTGGAAACAATTTAATTGCTACGTTTTTACACCTTAAATAGCTTGAAAACATACACATATTAACACCATTTAGTAGGTCTAATCAGACAATCAATAACCCTTAATAGGATCCAATTTGATTAACTGTTAACTCTGATTGATGGAACCATTGAAATGATTTAACAATAAGACGAGTCTAAATGGTAACAAATGATTGAATGAACCCAAAACTGGTTGTTTGAATGTCACATTAAATTAATTAGCAGTTAAGATGATTGAGGTAAAAGTGTTTCAAAGTGAAGCTTAAAGTAAAATATTGAAAACAGTTAATCACAAACGGTAAATCAGTTTGCTAATCAAGCTTCTATTAATTCTTGTGGTCACTTTGATTGTCACTTTTAATTAATCATCTCAATTAGAAGCTTTAAATCATTGAAGTCAAAGCTTTTGATTTATGGTCAAGTCTGAAAGCAAAGTTTTTTGCTTTTCATTTCATTACCATTAAACTGTTATTTGATTGTCAAATAGATTTTTCAATTTCTCTTTATTATTCCTAAACAATTTACTAACCACAAACAATGGTTAATTATAATGGTTAAGTGATGTTAAATAAGGAAAAGGTTGCAATTTAATGTTGATAAATGAGCGAATTGGTGAATTTGGTTAACTTTGTTTTTACACCAAAATTGAATTGTTGATCTGACATGATCTTTGGACCAATAATATATGATTAATACCATTACATTTGATTGTAATCGAGGTTAAGGTTGATTTAATTGACTTGCAACAAAGCCTTTATTGGGTGGGAATTGAATGTTTAAAAGACGCTTTAGAACTGAATTAATATACAAAAAGATTGTTTCAAGTTTAACTCATGATATTCAGAAATGTTTGATTAAACGATTTAACGCAAAGTGATCAATTATAGTTGATATTGAAAGGGAAAAAAAGGCTTTCTCCTTCCGTAACAATTAACTTTGCATGTTAATAAACACATTGACAGTTAGTTGATTGGTGCAAAATTGCTGGGATTAAGAAGCCTTTTTCTGGCCACAATTTAACTGGTTAAAAGACATTAAACTAAATTGCGAGTTAAATTGTAAAGCGAAATGTAAATGTGAAAAGTTATTCTCGATATTGTTGTCTCTATGATTGAACCAATTTGGATTAAACTGTCTTGAGCTGGTGGTAAGAGTTAAATGATTTACAATTAATTAGTTTAAACATAAATGTTGTTACGTGATGTAAACCATTTTGGAATCAGTAAATAGCTATTAAGATGAGAAAGTAAATCAAGTGAAGTTGATTTAAAATGAGATTAATCTTGAAAGTGCAACAAAAAATGAAATGGAAACACAGAAAGGTAAAAAAAGGAACCCAAAAAAGATGATTTTATTCAATATTTTTATCCTTTTTCTGTACCTTTTTGGTTAGCTTCTTGTTTCCATGTTTTGCCTTTTATAACATGATTAAGTGAAGCAACGCAATATTTTAAATATTGGCTTCATTTAACTACTTGGTTACGGAGATTAGCTCAGCATGAAAGTGATCATTTTTTTACTGAAAATTTGTTCAGTCAACATGCAAGAATGAGAAGTGAAAAAGAAACCATTTCAGGGTAACTCTTCAAATACGATTCGTGAATATTTTATATCACCAGTTTTGGTGTTCAATTAAACTGCGGGAATATTTTGTTTGGCCAAATAAACGGTTCTGTTAAACTGTTGCTAGTTAAGGTAAACTTTGCTTTAAAAATTCAATGTAATCCATTTTAAGGTATCTATCAATG